GCGAGCGTGCTCTTCGGTGTTTGTGCAAAGGAGCTGAAACTCGTGTCCACCAAAAGCCTGCCCGTGGCGTGTACAGCGGCTCTATTCCCAATCCCCCCGACGTGGACGCCACCGAGATGTCCTCCGTAGGTGATGGATAAAGAGACTGGTGCATCCAGACAGTGAAATACGATTCAGTGCTAAAAAGAGATGCATGAAAAGGAAAGACGGAAGCTTACAGGCAAATGACCGTGTGAAAGAAGCCAACTTGGAAAGACTACATGCATGACTTTCTGGGAAAGGCGGATCCAGGAAACAGTCACAAGGCCAGCGGCTGCTGTTCAGCAAGGGAGGGACACACGGAGCCCAGGGACCTCCAGGGCAGTGAAAATACTCGGTGCGAGACTCTGAAGATGACACATATTGTTCACTAGTCCAAGCCCGTGGAACGTGCCACGTGAAGGGTGAGCCCTGAGGTGAACGGGGGACCTGTGCGATTATGAAATGTCAGTGCGCGTTCCTCCTTGGTAAAGGTGCTTCAGTCTGGGGGCGACGTAGGTAATCGGAGGCCCCGGAGGAGGGGTCTATGGGAGATCTCTCTGCCTTCCTCTCAGTTTGGTTGTAAAGCAGCCACTGCTCCAAACAGAACATTTTAATGCCCTGGCCAGTTTGGCTCAGTGGTTGGAGCGTCGGCCCGCGGACCAGCGAGTCGCAGGTTCAGTTCCAGTCAAGGGTACGTGGTTTGGTTGCGGTCGGTCCCGGCCCTGGTTGGGGTCGTGTGGGAGGCAGCAGTCACTGTGTCTCTCTCACATTGATGTTTCTCTCTTTCTCTCACTCTGTCTGAAGATAAATGGAAAAATATCCTCGGGTGAGGATAAAAAGAATGAAATATAAAATAAAGCTTTTATTTATTTATTCATGTTTAATATCCTCACCTGAGGGTATGTTTTTATTGATTTTAGAGAGAGAGGAAGGGAAAGAGAGAGAGAGAAACATTGATGTGAGAGAGAACCTTGATTGGTTGTCTCCTGTAAGTGCCCAGGCTGGGGACTTGAACTCGCAACCTGAGTATGTGCTCTGATGGGGAAGCGAACCCTCAACCTTTTGGCATACAGGATGGCACCCCAACCCACTGAGCCACCTGGCCAGGGCTAAAAATACAGTTTTTCAAAGAAAAAAAAAGCCCACTGTCTATCATTCCATGTTTATGCAAAAAATTGATGCCTAACCAGTTAGAGATACAGTGAACTGGTTTTCATTCATTTGTGTCTGTTTCCAGGATTAAATTAGAACCAAACCTTTCCTTTCCTATTAACTGCACTTCAATCGCCACGTTAGGTAGGTTTGCTTCCCAAGTCGGGGAGCCAGCGTCCCTGTGCTGTGGTTTCAGGGGGCCCCCAGCTGTGGTTTCAGGTGGTTCTGCGTCCCTCTCCGGGTGCCCAGCAGGGGGATCAGGGTCGGAGCAGCAGCAGGTGACGTGAGGCTGGTTGGCTGTGCTGACCTCACCTGGGTCAGGTGCCCCTGTGGCACCAGCCAGCTATTCCGTTCATCAGGAGAGGTAAATGGGGGTCCACGCTGTGCTCCCAAACCACCTGGCCTGCGTCTGTGGCCAGATGAGCCTGGGTCCTGGCAGCCCCCTCGAGACGCCCAGGCCTGGCTGCCCTCCTGGTTTGGCCTGGTGCCCATACAGACACTTCACGCCCCAGTCACCGTCCATGGGGTTGCTTCCAGAGCAGGGCTGGGCTGGGCAGGCAGATGAAGCACGTGTCTGAGATTGGAGGACAGGTTTCTGAGAAAAAATGGGTTTCTCTTCTTTTTCCTTTATGTTCTTTTATTTCCCCCAGCACGTCGGGCTGTGATCTGATCTAGCCTTTTGTTTATACTGTCCCTCCTTTCTTATTTTCTCATGCTTCCGTTCCCTGTCTTAGTGTCATTCTAACTTCTCCTTTGTTTCCTTTAAGCTTCTATGTTGTTATTTTCCCCACTTCTTATGTATGTTTCTCCCTCGCCTCTCTCTTCCCCCTGTTCTCGTGTGGGCTTATTAGTTCGAGATGAAGTGTTTCCTGTGCGCTTGTTATGTGGGTAGAGTGTCAGGTTCAGAAAATGGTTCGCACAGTTACGGAGGGAGAAACTAGAGGGCTGTGGCTTTCTCTTTCCAACAACTTTCTGACACAAGGAGCCACTTGCTGAAGAGAAGAAGCTGATTTGGCGGTGATGACACTATCTCAGATGGTGTTCAGGCTGAACGTAGCAGGTCTTAGTGTTTTAGGTGATTGGCGCTCTTTCTCAAGTGCGGGTCCTCCTCTCTCCTGTCCTCTCCTGTTTTTCCCTGGATGACAGCACCGTGGCTCCCGGGCCAGCCCACAGTGAGTTTGTGACACAGGGAGGCTGGGGCAGATGGTCTCCCACGATGCTGCAGTTTTTGTCTAGTGTCCATGACTGTCCTTCCTGCTTGGACAGTAGGTCAGAATCCTCGTCGGCCGCAGCACAGCTATCAGGTTAAATAGATGATGTCACCCCCGCACCCCCCGGGCTATCATCATTTGGAGAAGTAGGTCCTGGAGGCTATTCACTGGATCAGATTCTTCAATCTTTGGGTCTCAGGATCCCTTTATACTCTTTTTAAGACAAAATTTTATCATGATAAGAACATTTAACATGAGATCTAAAATAAACACAGCAGATTTTCAGGTATACAAGTAGTGTTGTTAATTACAGGCACCGCGGTGCACAACAAGCAGATCTCGACAATGTACTCATCTTGTAAAACTGAAACTCCTTACCCACCGGAGAGCAAGTCCCTCCCCATGTCGCCCCTCCACATGTCGTCCCTCCCCAGGTCTCCCCTCCCCCAGACCCTGGCAATCACCATTCTATTCTTTGCTTCTATGGGTTCAACTATTTTAGATACTTTATAGAAGTGGAATCGTGCAATATTTGTCCTTCTGTGTCTGATTAATTTCACCTGGCATATTGTCATCCAGATTCATCCACGTTGTCTCATATTGCAGATTTCCTTCTTTTAAAAGGCTGAATAACATTCCATTGTAATATATACACACTTTTAAAATCCATTTATTCACTGATGGGCTGATGGACACTTAGGTTGCTTCCATTTGTGAATAGTGCTGCGATAAGCATGCACTAACATCTCTTTGCGATCCTGATTGTACTTCTATTTGCTGGGTCATATGTAGTTCTTTTCAGAATTTTTGAGGCGCCTCCACAGAGGCTGTGCCATTTTACATGCTTACCTACAGGGTACAAGGGTTCCAATTTCTTACATCCTCGCCAACAACTGTTATTTTTTAAAAATAATAGTCATCCTATTAATAGTCACAAATGTGAGGTGGTACCTCATGTGGTGTTGATTTGCACCCTAATGATTAGTGACACTGAGCATCTTTGCATACATGTGTTGGCCATTGGTACGTCTTCTTTAGAGAAATGTCTATTCCAGTCTTCAGCCCATTTTTTAAAAATATGTTTTCATAGATTTTTAGATAGAAAGGAAGGAGAAGGAAAGAGATAGAAACATCAATTGGCTGCCCTTTCTCTCTGTTGATTATTTTCTTTGCTATGTAGAAATATTTTTGTTTGATGTAGTCCCACTTGTCTATTTGTTCTTTGTTGCCTGTGTTGGAGTCATAATCAAGAGATCATGGCCAAGGTCAATGTCATGAAACTTTCTCCTATGTTTTCTTCTGGGAGTGTTACAGTTTCAGGTCTTACATTTATGTCTTTATCCATTTTGAATTGATTTTTATGTATGGCGTAAAATAAAGGTCTAATTATATTCTTTTACAATGTCTTTTTTTAGTTTTTCCAAGAACAGTTGTTGAAGAGAGTATCCTTTCCCCATTGTGTATGCTTGGCACTCTTATTGAAGAGCAGTTGGCCATATACATGTGGATTTATTTCTGAGCTTTCTATTCTCTCATTGGTCTGTATTTCTGTCTTTTTGCTGGTACCATGCTGTTTTAATTATTGTAGCTTTGTATTTTAGTTTGAAATCAGAAAGTGTGACACCTTCAGCTTTGTTTTTTTTCAAGAGTGTTTTGGCTCTTTATAGTCTTTTGTGGTTCTATATAAATTTTAGAGGTTTTTTTTTACCCTTTATTCTCTTAAAGATTATTGATGACCCAAAAGAATTTTGTTTATGTATATTATGACCTTCTATATTTATTGTGTTAGAAATTAAAACCAAGCATGATTTAAAAGACTAGAATTTATAAGCACATATCCCAATGTCCATCAGAGACTGAAAATATCCACTCTATATTTGTATAGGATAAGAGTGAATTTCTAAGAATATATACTTATAGAATAAGAGGTAAAAAGGTAAATTACATTTTAACATTACTATTAAAATCGGTTTGATCTTTCAGATCTCAGAGAGGGATACAGGGATCCTTTGTGTCCTCAGACCACACTATAAAAACTGCTGATTGAAGTATCTGATGATTGGGTACTGAGCACTGCATGCTGGGTGATCCAACTATGGTGGTAGGAATTTCTAGGTACCCAGAAAGTCATAGAACATGGGGTTCTTACTTTATTTATGCATTTGACAACCCATACATCTGAAAAAATGAATTTATGTATATACTCAATGAAAGTGATTTGGTATCTCTTTTACAAACAATAAAATATTAGTTGGCATGATTACAATCTAGATATTTGATACTCAGAGTCAGCGTGTGAGTCAGCAGCCCAGTATTACTACCGTAGTCCTGTGAAATTTAATCACTTGATACGATCACTACCAAGAAAAGCACAAGAGGTGTTGGTTATGTTTCTTATTATATGGTTAACCAAGTAAAACTGAGGAGAATATGTGTGAACACAGTCTTTCAAAAGCCCTTTTCTTACAAAAATGTGGTATGAAGGTATCATGTACAATCACTGAAGCTATATCAAAAGACATCACCAATCATCATGATGGAATTTTCGGAGTAGCTTCTACCTTCGCATCTAGAAATGTGAGGACCTGAGCATAATCAGCTTCTTCTTCCTTTCAGATAGATTTGAGGGGGCTGTGCCACCAGACAGCCATGTGGTCTCGGAACCGGGAACAAACATCACGCTCACGTATGAGCATCGAATGAAGAGTCCCCTGCAGCAAGTCACATGGGAGAAGCTGCAGTCCCATCAGATCGACCTCCTAACCAGGTGCAACTTGTCCCAAGGGAGAAGCTACCCCTCAAGGTATCGCAGAGAGATACTGAGTAACTGTGACCAGGGGATGAGGAGGACCTTCATCATCATACCCCATGTCTCGGCCTTTGACTCTGGCCTTTACCGCTGTTGCTTCAAGGCCAGCACAGGGGAGAACGAGACCTTCGTGATAAAACTGACCGTCACCAATGGTGAGTACTTCACAGAGGTCTTCTCGTGGGTTGGTTTCTGTTGTTTTTTCTATGACTCGACTGTTCAATTTTTAAAATTTTTAAAAATTTTTTAAAATTAAAAAATATATATATTGATTGCTTTGAGAGAGAGAGAAACATTGATTTGTTGTTCCACTTCTTGATGCACTCATTGGTTGCTTCTTGTATGTGCCCTGCCTGGGGATTGAACCCACAACCTTGGCACATCGGGATGATGCTCTAACCAACTGAGCTACCTGGCCAGGGCCAAACTGTTTTGTAATGATTGGATTTAGGTAAGCTGTCAGTTATTGAGTGGCAGTCTTTAGTATTTCTTTCTCTCTCTAATCCATCAGTTACAGATTTAACGATAACAGATCTGTCCCATATTCCTGAAATTAAAAATAAAACCCAGTGAGTCCGAAAAAGACGCCTGGTATCCCCAGCCCCTAAGCTTCAGCTGTGTAACTTGTCTTCCGCAGTTACATTGCAGCCTTCTGAGGGAGGGGACCGGTTTGTAACCCTCGCCTGCCCTCAGCAATGACAAGGTGGTGCCAGGTTGGTATTGACGAGTCAGCTTGGAGTCGAGTGGGTTTCATGCGTGTCTGGTCGTGTGGCTGCCCCTCTGTCCCTTCGAGGCTCTGAGGCTGCTGCAGATCCGGGCAGCCCGGCCTGGAGGCAGCTGGAGCTGGGGCTCGGGGCCTCTCGCCCCATCAGGCCCCCTGCAAGGACAGGGCTCACTTTCTATCAGGAATACGTGGCCTGTGTCGTAACGGAGCCCTGACCTGCGTGAGCTCCAGGCCCACAGAGGCCGTGGGACAGGCCGAAAGCGACCTTCTCCCACTGAAGGGCGAACACTGAGAGCCCTTCCCCTCGAGAAGTCTGTGCCGCGCCGAGTCCGAGCCCGTGCGAGGAAGGCCCCCCCCCCGTGTGAGGGAGCCCCCCCGTGCGAGGAAGGCCCCCCCGTGTGAGGGAGCCCCCCCGTGCGAGGAAGGCCCCCCCGTGTGAGGGAGCCCCCCCCGTGCGAGGAAGGCCCCCCCGTGTGAGGGAGCCTCCCCTGCGAGGAAGGCCCCCCCGTGCGAGGAAGGCCCCCAGTGTAAGGAAGGCCCCCCCCGTGCGAGGGAGCCCCCCCGTGGAAGGAAGCCCCCCCCCCCCACTGCCCGGGGCGCCTGTCTCCCTGCGCGGTGCAGGAGAGGGAACTCACTCTGTAGCCGACGGGGTTCTACTTTACCCTCCCCCCTGCGCCCTCCTGGCTCCAGCCTCTTCCCTCCTCCCTTCCTGTGGCCGATGCAGGCAGCCGTGCGCCTTGGCTTGTGTGAGCGCTTTTATTTATGTAGGTAGGTATGTACTTTTTAATCCTCACTTGAGGTTATTCTTCCCTTGATTTTTTTTTAGAGAGAATAGGTGGGCGGGAGGGAGGGAGAGAGAGAAACATCCATGTGAGAGAGACACATTGATTGGTTGCTTCCCACATGACCCTGACCAGGGCTGGGTATCGAACCCTCAACCGAGGTACATGCCCTTGACCGGGAATAGAACCCATGACTCTGGCCCGTGGGCCGATGCTCTAACTGCCGACCACGGCTCGTGTGTGGACTTCTGGAGCTGAGGGCCCGAGGACTTGGCGCTCCCTCCGTGGACGGCTTGCGTGGCAGCCGTGTGTCCTCTTGCCCTGGAAAGGGACATGCAAAGCTGCGTACACACATAGGCCCCCCGCTGCTGCAGTGCTGGGGCACCACGGAGGACGTCTGTCAGAGGACAGCCCTCTGTCTGCAGGGTCACCTTGGACCACGTCAAGCCTCCTTGGCTCCTCGTACTGACGGGAGCCGTGGGTGGTCCACGTTCTTTTCAGAACTTGATGCGAAAGAGTATTGGGGAGCTATTTGGGGGGGAATTAACGAAGATTCTTCACCTTCCGTGTTGGCTCCATTCCTCAGACACACATGGAGAATATTTCTTACCTAAAAACAAGCCTGTGAACTGGCCACAACACAGGAAGACCAAACACAGTCACTGACCTCCTTCAAGGCAAGCAAGGGTTCTGTTCAGAAAAATGCCACCAGGAACTGTTCTCGAACGCCTATGAAATAAGATCTTGCCCATTATATGTTGAAAAAGGGCATACACACATCTTAAGTCATAGAGAAAATGGAGGCAGTGACAGGTTTTAGGAGGTATAGTTATTTAACTCGTACTAATTTTAAAAACTGTCTTTCTCTTGTCCAGCATGACTGCGTGTCTTGCCCAGAACGGTTCCTTTTCTTTTTACCTACGCCGTAAAGACTGGAAAACGAAAGGGGCTGGACGTCGCGGGCAGTACTGCTCAGTGTTCATCTGTTTTGGGTACCCGCAGAATGGCCTTCTGAGATTTGGGGGGTGGGGGGTGGGTTGAAAGAATGTCAACGGGGCCTGTTAGTCAAAAGTTATCATTGACAGATGGTGACAGCTGTTGACTGTATGCTTCGGTTTAATTCTCTCGAAAAATAACCCTGAGTACATATTGAATATCAAAAAATCAGATGGAAAGCAAAACTAGACTGCCTGCCTCTTCTCTGGTGCGGTTCGATGGTTTCAAAGCTGGAGGCTGTTTGGTCAAAATCAATGTAGAGCTGAAAGCAGAGACAGGTAGAAGGTGGGGAGCACAGTGCCCTGAGCACAGCTGTCTCAGCAAAGGCCCCGTGACGCACGTCTTCTCGGTCGCTCCGCACCTGCTCGTCAGCGCTGCTCGCTTTGTGGCAGGACGGCTCCTACCACAGCGACTCTCCCCTGACTCTTGTCTGCCTGCGTTCATATCCCGGCAGGACCAGGTACGCACAGGGCACCGCAAAGGTGACCCGATGTCCACCAACCTGCCGTGTTTCCAGGCCTGGATTGATTCCGAACAGAGAGAGACAGTGGCAGGAGCAGGAGTCGAACCCGAGTTCACTCTCGACGCCCTTTGTTCGACGAAAAGAAGGGCTTGTCTCCTGCTCGGGCCCCCGGGCCCTGGGAAGCAGTAGGAAACAGTTCTAGACGGACTTTTCAGCCTTTGAAATCTGTCTAGACCACAGGGGCCAGGGCCAGGGGCAAGCGTGGGGCACCACTGGTGACCAAGATCATTCCTGGCCCCTAATACTCTTTGGAATTTCATTAGTCATGAGAAAAGTATTTGCGTCTCCACCGAAAGAACTTGCGAAGTCTTTTAATATTAACGACCTGGTAGTCAAACTACTATGGCCTTAACTGAGCTGACACTTATAAGGAGGACGAGGGTCAAAGAAATGAAACCAGCCCTGGGGAGACTGGTTTGAACACACGCCCCCGGGCACAGCTGAGTGGTGTATGTAGTTAGTTACTCAGGTCCTTCCCCCATCTTCCCCCGTGAGGCCACTCAGCTGACCCACCAGGTTTCAGCGGGGCACCGATGGTCCGGGCGGGGACGGAACAGAGGACAGGGAGCCACCGGAAGTAAGCGTCAGCAGGGTGGACGCTGGGGCGGGTGGCTGCACTCCGTGGCTAGGTGGGTACAGAGGTTCTGAGTTACGAGTTAACACAGACGGTGATCGGCCCAATGCAGCGATAACGTGTCGAGATTCTGGATCTCACTAAGAGCAATGAAAGGCACTGTCCACTCCTGACCAACGATGGCAAAGTAACACGCAGGGAGGTGTCACATAGTCGAGCACGGAATGAAAGGAGACATTCGAAGCAGAAGAAATGAGCTAAGAGCTCGATGCCACGGGGGAGGGACGGAGCCCTCAAACTAGGCTACGAAGGAGCCCACTCCTGATAGACGAAGTCTCAGCTGGCACCTCCTCCGGGCAAACTCAGAAAAGGTGCCCCTTCCTCTGGGCAGCTGCGGACACAAGCTGGAGGACAGGCTTGCCCACGGGCCACCCGCCTTCTGCCCACTTTGATGGGAACAGAGGAGAGAGGGAAGTTGGTCTATAGGAACATCCGCCTCTGCTTGCCACTGCCTTGACCATCACTCACACTTCCCTACTTTCTCCTTTTCTTCACCAACCCACGGATTTTTACCACATTCACCTCCTTTCCGTTAGCGGTCCCGTCAGCTCTCACCACCTGCGAGATTTTTCCACGTCGGCCCACACGGCTTCCCGGCCACTGAACCAGGAGGTGTCTTGAATCTCTCAGACACGTATAACTTGGCCATGTGCACCCTCACGTCACTTCCTGCGTTTGTTTGCGGTGGACCAGACTCGTACACTAGAAATGGTTTGAGATTCGGGATTTTGGCATCTCCGCTTAGAGGTGTCAAGTCTTTCCAGAGTTTGTATTAATAAGTGTGGGCTGATTCTTTGTATGTTAGTCGTATGTACTCAAGTAGGGGCTGTGTCCATGTTGTGTTCAAGTTTTCGAGTTAGATTATCTCTAGATTTCCTTCATCAATACATGACCTTTGAATTTTAGTGATTCCTAATCAAAGAAACCTGAACTCTTAGAAGATTAATTGCATCATTTGAGGAGAAGTTTTCATTGACTTTATTTGCATCGATATCTTTAGAAAAAGTCTCTTTCCCTCTTCAACTTGATCTTTCTCGTCTCGTGTATTTTCTGTAAATGGCGCGTACTAGCCCTGGCCAGTTTGGCTCAGCGGTTGGAGCGTCGGCCTGCGGTCCCGAGAGACCCGGGTTCGGTTCCCGCTAAGGGCATGTACCTCGGTTGCAGTTTGTCCCCGGCCCTGGTCGGTTGTGCGGGTGGCAGCCACTCCATGTGTCCCTTTCACATCGATGTTTCCCTCTTTCTCTGTTCCCCTCTCTCCCTCCCACTCTACCTGAACAAAAAGTGGAAAAATGTCCTCAGGTGAGGATAAAAAAAAAAAAAAAATGGCGCGTACTTGCGAATCCTCCGCCGGGAGGACGGGTTGGTAAAGGAAGACGACGGAAGCAGACACGAGGAAACCACAGCGTCAGAGCCAAGAGAACCTTCCCACAGACTGCTCGGTGAGGCACAGGCTTCAGTAATCCAGACCCTTCTGTCCCACTCCTTGGATCTGTAGT